GAAGGAAATCAAAAATACAAGAGCCATTGCAATCTGAGCTGAGAAAAAGCCCCAGAGCATCGCTCCAAGTAGCAGGAAGAGTGATTGCCCTCTAGCAAGGGAATGGAAGTGGTAAAGAACTCGGGTATAAGGAAAAAGAATTCAGCTTTGGGGTTGTTGTGTTTGGCTGACAGTGAAGCATGGAGGGGGAAGAGTTTAGTACTCACTGGGAAAAAAAGAAGCAGAAATCATGTGAGAGATGGAACTGGAGATAAGTGAGAGTCATCAGCTCAAGGGAGATAATTAACGTTCCTGAGAAAACAAGCAGGAAAGCCTTTATAATACATTAGCAAATGTGTTTTTCAGTTTTATAGCTAAAGAAACAGAAGGCCAGGAGACCTTAATGAAATGATCTCACCTCTTGTTTTAGATGGAATGGAAGCTAGTCATATATTTGAATAATTAACATTTTGATTTTTAAAGTCTATCGTAGCAATGGACTGAATTCAGGGCCCTTGACCTTTTGAAATTTTTCTCGCCCAGAGTCACATGTATTCTCTCTTAGGACAGAATCTGCTACGGTGGTGATTTTGTGCTGTGTTATTTAGCTAAGCTGGAAGGACATTTCCCAGAGTTCCCTTCCCTGGGTAGCTCCCAGTGAGGGTTGAAAAGAAGAGAAATTTGCACGATTTGGAAGGCCAAAGTGACCCCACAGTGCTGTGCTTGAGGCGCTGGTGCCAGGCCCAGCCACCCCCGCAGCTCATGCACCCTGCTGCCCGTACTGGTTCCCCTTGTTGGGGTGGGGGGCAGCGAGTCTGGCCAGATCTCCTCCTGCAACTTCTCCAAGCACTGGAGTGGGCTCTGGGAGAAGGCAGCAGTTTTTCTGCTGGTCGCCTTCCGCACTGGAGTGAAGTGGTAAGAGACATACGTGCTGCAGTTTCTGCTCATGGATTCCAGTTTGTCTACCGGATTCAGTGGGTTGTCTCTGCTTCCCTCTGCTTTGAGTCCAGCTTTTCTCCTGTCTGCTCTGCTGCCGAGCAGAAGCTTCAGGCCACCGCCAGATGCCAAGGCCACAGCCTTCCACGGGCTTCTTCACCCACTTCCCTCAGTGCCTCGATTAGTAAATTTTTCCTTTTTCCCCAACTGTCCCCTTCCAGACCTTTGTGTTCTCAGCTTCTCCTACAACTGTGCGATGCTGAATCCCTGTAAGGAATTTCTTACTGTAACACTCACAGCCGTTCTAACTCCCTGATGTAATTGCTCAGGCTGTCTAGGGATTACCCAGGCCTTTCTCTACCCAACCTCCCTTTAGTTGACTGCACTCATGCATTTTTACTTATTCCCAAGGGACCATTAGCTATGAATAAATGATGACAAGATTTTTAAATGCATTTTAATATGCATGAGCTTTTAAAATGCATCTTATATAAATGGTCATCATGATAGACTAGAAACCAGTATTAAAGCAGTGGCTGAAATAAGGTATAGAAAAACTGTAGACTTCAGGTGTCTGACCCTGGGTACCTCCACAACTCCCAGAACTACCCAACTCCACCTGTTAAGTAAGAGAGAAAGAAATGTCTAACTTTGTTTAAGTTATTGTTAATTTGGTCCTTGTTATATCCACTGAGCTTGAATTCTACATTCAACATTTGAATACATTCAGTTATGCAAGTAAATGTGCAGCAAAAACTCTCTTCTTGTTATTACTCTTCTCTTTTTTCCTATAATTCAGTCTTATAAAAAGTACATGTTCACTTACTTCGCAGAGCTTCAGAAAAGGACTATGTCTCTATTTTGCAAAAATGCGGAATGGTCCCTGAGTATCCTGATGGAAGGACAATGATACATTATTTTTATTCATTTTTCCTTCTAGTGGACTTTCAAGGAGAAGACTGAACTAAGAATAATTAACATTTACTCTCAAGACCAGCACAGGATTGCCTATTCTTGTCTTAGACTTGAGATTAATGTTGAATTTCAGAAGACAAAACATGTTTTCATTTATTTCAGCAAGTCACTTAATTTCTTTGAGACTCAGTATCTTCATTTGTAAAATGCAGTGAATATCCTTTCTTCTCAGGCTTGTTTTGAAGGTAAAATGGGTACACCAAATTATGTAAAACCTGCCTAGCACAGTATTTGACATAGTAGGTGTCAATAAATATTAGTAGAATCTAAAGCTTAAACTATATTTTTAAAGAATTAGCATAGAATGTTATTGAAAGACAAACAGCCACCATTAATGTTTGCTTTTCTTTTTTTTTTTTTTTTTTTCTGTTTTGGAGACAGAGTCTCACTCTGTTGCCTAGGCTGGAATGCAATGTTCTCTGCAACCTCTGCCTCCTGGGTTCAAGAGATTTTCCTGCCTCAGCCTCCTGGGTAGCTGGGATTACAGTTGTGCACCATCACACCCAGCTAATTTTTGTATTTTTAGTAGAGACGGTGTTTCACCATGTTGGCCAGGCTGGTTTCGAATTCCTGACTTCAAGTAATCCACCAGCCTCAGCCTCCCAACATGCTGGAATTACAGACATAAGCCACCATGCCCAGTATCCAGTAATTTTTCATAAAATCAAATTTGGTTTTCTGAAAAGGAGAACTCTTGCTCTAATACAATAAGGTATCAAATGATATGTTAGACTGGAAGGTTTGCTGCATTTTTCAAAATTACCCCAAGACTGAAGAGAGATGGATAGCATGAGATTGAAAGGACTCTAACCATGAGTAGGTTGGTTCAAGAGGCCTAAGATCAATGTCTCTCACATTATGATATGTGCCATGATGTATACCCTTTCAACCTGAGAGGTTTTCTGAATTAGAATGAGGAGGGTATCCCTTTCTTTTTTGACTTTTTCTTACACTCTCAATTGATCCTTGACATTTGAAAAAATTGGACCAAGAAAGTTGATGTACAAAGGAAATATTTTTAGTTTTATGATGAATATACAAGAAAAAGAGATGCTAGCAGAAGAAACCAATGGAACTACCATTTGAAGTCTATCAAATGGGCAAAGCTTACTGTGCTTGTTAACATAGAGAAGTTTCATACCCAAATCTAAGTTGTTTCTTAGTATAAGACTGCACCCATATCTTGTCCTTCTGCTTTGAAGAGTTTCTTGAAATAAGAATGTAAATAAATAAAATAAAAATATAATAAAAATAAAATAAATAAAAATAAAAATAAGATGTTAGCTCACATTTCATTAGTTTAAAGTATCATAGTAGCCATATAAGTATCTCATAGGTATACACTCAAGATAATAAATCCCAAAATAATGGTAGAAATCTGTTCCCAGGAAACTGTTCATTCACGGTAATTGTCATTGTTAAGTCTTAAAAAGCAGGTTTAAGGTTCAGGAAGAAGTCTGAATCATCAGAGGCTGGTGGTATTGTAATGTTTACTCTATCTGCCCAAGCCGTCTTACAGGAGGAAATATGTCCACTCGCAGTGCAGAGAAAGAGCCAACTTTCAGTCTTTCACACCTTGGACCATGACCCAACCTTGCCACAGCTGATTAAGCCTGAACTTCCATCTCTGACTTGGCACAGCAAAGAGCAGTGTCAATCAGATTTCACCCAAGAATTTGAACAAATCTGAATCTAGAAACAAAGTGCACTTAGAAGTGGGAGTAGAAGCTGAAAACTGAGGAGGCAGAGTTAGAGCAGGAGAGGCCATATCAGCCATCTGCAAGTCTAGTTATTAATTGAGATTAAGCAGACCAAAACTGCTGGCTGCTGACCAGAAGGAGGCAGATACAGAGACTGTAGCTCAGTCCATTCACCTACAATCTCACTGAAGATAGGGACAGTGTCTATCTTGTTCGTTACCCTTTCCCCATCATTTAGCATAGTTCTTGGTTGTGAAAAAGTACTCAATACATATCACTTGAATGAATAGTTAATGAGTTAGCAGTGGATGACTAGAGCAAGCCCCTACCTGACCTTCTTCCCAGAAACCCTGTCCAGTACCTGGAACCAGAGCCCTACCTCTCTCCGGGAAATTCCTTCTTCTTCAGCACAACCTGTGTCTTCTTACTGCCCCAAACCTCCAGTGCTTTCCATTATTTGAGCCAATTTGATTGCCTCCTTGATCCTTGTCAACAAGTTTCAAAACCAACTTTGTGATAGAGAGGGAAGGACTGAGAAAGGAAGGAGAGTACTAAAAAAGAAAGGGAGAGAGAAAGGAATGGGGTAGGAGGTGAAGTAATTGAGGCTACCCTTCACAACCTCCCCACAGAGACATTCAGGCTTTAGATATGAGGCTAATAGACGAGAGAACTGCCACAAACAATCTATTCTAATAAATCCATCACTAAAAGAGTTTGCCGAAGAGAGGTATTCATACTTTGTCATTAGAGCAGGCTGGTTCTATAAAATCAAGCAACCTCATAGCTATGTCCCTGTCAATTGTTTGTTTTATGTTGAATGATAGTAACTAGACTTCATGCTTCTGTTTAATGGAAAAGAGTAAAGCGCCCCGGGAGGCTACTCTAGTGAATAAGATGTACTCAAAAGAATAATTCATCCTCCTTCTCTTCTCAACTCATAATATCCTCCTTCTTTACTATCACAAGAATGTATCCAGGATTGTGTCTTTAAGAAAATCTAAATATTTGAATTTTTTTCTTCTACAAAGGAAGAAACTCAGAGATGATATGGAGGAAAATGTTACCTCAGCAAATTTTCCTTTCACAAAGCAATGTAATTCTCTTGGGCAGTAAATATCGTTCCAGGTCTGGTTCATCCTAAATCAATGGGAGTTAAAGTATCCTCATGTGACAGATAGTGGGGAACGTATCTTTCAATTGAATACTAGCCCTGTACTTTTCAGAAGCAGATATAAGCGATAAAAGCCTTCTGCATTACAAGGAGCGTCAAATGACCAATGTTATCCTTGTCTTGCTTCTAGCACTTATATGTATGAGGCACTATAGCAGTACCATGCTCTGACTGGTCAAAAGCAATACATTAATATTAATAGGGGGAAAGAGGGAAGGAATAAAGAATAAAGTACTTACTTGGTCCTAGACCAATTGAAAAAGCAGCAACATAAACAAGCAAGCTGGCTAAGGACAGCCATTTCAAAAAAGCTGGGACGTCCGCAGGGTCTGTGACTATCTGGTACTCAGTGTGGCTTAATCCAGCATTTAGCAAGGATACTGAGGTGGTCTCCACTCTCTTATCCACATCATTTCTCAGGGGCATGAGTGAGCTTCTGCTGTGGAAAGCCATCCCTTTGAAGTGGTCTCTGAGAATAGTATTGCTGGCTGACAGGTTTCCTGGTCCATAAATTGCAGACTCATCCAAGGACTCGTTGATAGAACTGTGACTTCTGCAGATGTGGGTGAAGTTCATGTGGATGTTGAGATTTACGATGCCCATGGTCACCAACGAAGCTGCCATCACAGAGGAGCCGATGCAGAGAAATGTCTTGCTGCCGACGTGGTCTACAAGAAGAGTGGCGGGGATGGTGCTAATGACCTTGACAACTCCAACCCCAGTGGAGGCGAGACTAGCTGCCTCATTGCTTTGAAAGCCAACTGACTTCAAAACAGTCGATGCATAGAACAGTATGTTTGGCTGGCCAGTGATTTGTACAAAAAATACCAGTGTTAGTCCTATCATGATTCGGGTCCGCATGTTGTCTTTTGAACGAAACAGATCCCAAAAACTATACTGGTATTCATCTTTCAGGGAGGATTTGATCACCGTGAGTTCCTCGGTTGTATCCGAGAGTGCTCTTAACCTTCCAAGAACTTTGCTAGCAGCTTCCTCCTGTCCTTTCATCACCAGAAACCGAGGGCTTGGAGGAAGAAAATACATTGCAATTGCTTGCAAAACTCCCAAGGGAATAACAAGACCAAACATGTACTTCCAGCCGTGGAAAACATTGGCAAATGCATAATTTGAAATATAGGCAAAAAGAATGCCGATGACAATCATCAGCTCATTCAATGACACAAGAAGGCCTCTTCTGTGTTGAGGAGCAATCTCTGCAATGTAAACACAAGTGGCAATGGAAGACAGAGAGATGGAGACCCCTATGGCAATACGTCCCGCTATAAGAACCGTGTAGGATAAACTGAGAATCAAGACTAAGCTTCCGAGTCCAAGCAGGCAGGAAGACAAGATGATTGCTGTCCTTCTTCCATACCTGTCTATCAGGACTCCTCCGGTGAGTGAGGCCAGGAGGGCTCCAATGAGGAGGGAGCTCACAACCATTTCCTGCTCATGGCAGCTCAGGGCTAATAAAGTTTTGATCTGAAGAAGAGCCCCAGAGATGAGCCCAAGTTCATAACCCACCAGGAGGCCACTGACAGCAGCAGTGACAGACGACAGGAAGGTAAACATGCCACAACCTACAAGCAGAGAGAAGAGACAAGGAGGTCAGTTCTCAATTGAGATTTTAAACATTTCGTATTGCAGTGGAGATTTAACCTTGTAAAAGTCTTTCATAGCACTGAGTTTAAACACACATACAACTATGATAAAATAGTACACTAACCACAAAATGATTTGACATAGCAGGAGAAATCATTTTTCTTTCTTTTTTTGGGAGGAGAGGCATGGAGACACGTAGGAAGTTCAGTTTCCTTCTACTTGTGATGTTGATGTTTTTGGTTTAAATCAGTGATGTTGAGATAAGCGGTGACACATGGTAAGGATTGAGCAAACAAGAGTGTTCAGACCTCGGCAGTGGATCAGCAATTCAAAGAGCCTGGCTCTTGTGGTCCCATCCCAGTTCTCTGAAGGCAAACCTTTGAGGGCAGGAGAGAGAGGATAGGAGCCTCTAGATGTGCTACAAGCTCCCTGCTGGATAGCCTGGGTCAAAATGAAACACAGCCTCCGGGAAACTTGCCCTATTATCTCCTGGGCCACAATCATGCTGCAAACGGCCTCTCCTGCACACATGAGAGTGCTGGGGCAGAGGGTGGAGGTAGGAATGGGCAGTGCATGAATGTCTTAACAAGTCAAGGTTTTGCTAAACAGAAGGAAGAAAGAAATGCATGTAGCGTAAAGAACCAGCAATATCCCTTACTTGTTCTGAGTAAGGAGAAAGGAGGATGGAACACAGGCAGAACAAGGAGACTTTACCTTTGTATTGTTCTTTTGTTAATGTTCAAATCCAAGGAAAAATGTCAAAAACTTAACAATTCTTAATTTTTGGTGGTAGAATACAGATGTTTGCTATATGTTGGCAACTTGTCAAAACAAAACAAAAGGTAGCAGAGGGAAGGGTCTTTCAGTCCCAGGAGAAAGTAATTTCCAAGGCCCTAAGGCAGGAAAGTTCTTATTTCGTTTTAGGAGCTGTCAGATGGCCAGCATGTACCGTGTGGGGCACACCAGGAGCCTGGAGAGGTAGGAGGGAAAGGGCTTACAGCGAATTTAGATAAGTACAGAGGGGGCACTTCAAGTAGAGCCTGTCGGTCACTGTAATGACTTTTCATTGTGTTCCAAGTGTAATAGGGCCAACACCCATTGAGAGGTGTGGAAGGCATTGACGCTATAGGTTTTCTCTTTATAAAGGTCACCTTTGCTGCTATGTAGAGATTAGTGCTTCAAAAGGCAAGACTGGCAAGACTGGTAGCAGGGAGGAGGTTGTTGCCTTGATTTGGTCAAGAGATAATAGTGGCTTATACTGGGGTGTTAAGAGTGGACCTGGAGATAAATAGGCAGATTCAAGACTTATTGTGGAGCCAAAAACCACTACACTTATTCAAGGCTGGATACAGTGGCTCATGCCTATAATCCCAGCACTTTGGGAGGCCAAGGCGGGTGGATCACCTGAGGTCAGGAGTTTGAGACCAGCCTGGGCAACATGGCAAAACCCCGTCTCTACTAAAAGTACAAAAATTCGCTGGGCATGATGGTGCACATCTGTAGTCCCAGCTATTCAGGAGGCTGAGGCAGGAGAATTGCTTGAACCCAGGAGGCAGAGGTTGCAGTGAGCCACGATTGTGCCGCTGCACTCCAGCCTGGCAACAGAGCAAGACCCCATCCATCTCACACACACACACAAAAAAAAACAAAAAACAAACAAACAAACATTACACTTTTTAAAGAATTGGAGATGGAGGGTAAGTGGGTCAGAACCCAGGATGGCTCTGTGGCTTGAGTGGTTGGGTGGGTGATTTTATAAAATTCAATATACTCGATACAGTACTATATGGGGCCAACACCCACTGAGAAGTGTGGAGAGCATTGTACTATATACTATGTAGTGCAAGGTACCGACATAGGGAAGATTAGGAATAGAACTGGTTGTGGGTAGTGGGTGATTAAGAGGAGGGGTAAAAATCAAAAGTTCATTTTGGACTTAGTAAAATGGTTTATTTGTTTTACCTGTAAGACATTAAGTTAAAAATATTAAGCAGGGGACTGGGTATACAGATTTGGAGCTTAAAGATAGGTCAAACCTGGACATACACATTTGGAAGCCAGCAGCATGCATTTGGTATTTAAAGCCACAGGAATGGGTGAGATCACTTAGGAAGATAAAACAGGAGAAAGAGAAGCAGGATCATGACTGGGACCTAGGCAACGCCCACATTTAGAAGAGTAGTGCCTGCAAAGGAGATGGAGAAGAATCGGAACTGAGATGTAAGTCAAATGCGTTGGAAATGTACTCGGGCACACATTTTCATAGGCTGAGCTAAGGCTATTTACCCCTGCCTTTTGAGGGTTGGGGGAGGGCATAGTTAAAAATGCCGCTCAGCTCTTGTGGAATAAGCAGGTCACAGAAAGGTGATCTAAATCTCTTTCTATCACAAATGCTCGAGGTATTTTCCATCTCCAGGATCCTGGTAGGATATGGGAATTGGGACCCCCAAAAATAAGGAGAAGAAAGCACTGAATATTTAGATGGAGGAGCAAATAAGGTACAATAACTCACAAAAAATAAAGCAAATGTATGAGCATTTTGAACAAAACCCAATAAATTAAAATTAAATCAGCAATTTATCTAGCTAATCAGAAAACAAATATTTAGCACGGTTACATGGCAGGCACTTACCTAGGTACTGGGGGAATATATATATATATATATATACGTAGCAGTGAAACAGAACAAATGTGGTCTTTGCACCCAAAATACTTAATATTCTGGTGATATCTCTATTACCTATTATTTATTGATTTTATGTGCTGTTTTACTTTTTTTGCATGCAAAATGACTTTAAAGTACTCTCTTCTAGGTTCATTCATGTCCATGGTTTCCATATTCTTTTTTCCATATGATCTTAAAGTCCTCAACAATGAATTCCTCTATGACAGGAATTAGGTCAAGTCTTCACATTTGGATAAGAATATTGCATTATTATTCTTATCTCTACTTGTCATTGTTCATTTTATCTATGTGTGCTGTGTTGATTAGTGTATGTGTTTTGGCAGTTGATGATTGGTCTCTGATATTCTGACTGGAGAAACAAGTGAAGTTGGAGACTGGACCACCTTGGAGGCCTGACTGAGTGAGGCACCTGGGAAGGGCATGCAGTGGGACAGGGGCACCTGGGGCTGTGGGGTTAAGGACACAGGGAAAGCAATGGCAGAACTGCTTTGACAGCAGAAGATTGTCCTTGCTACCCTGTGCTTCTCCTTCCCCTTTCTTGTTTTCCTCTTTCATTAGATGGAAAATACTATGTCCCTAGAAAGAGAAAAATGCCTTGAGTTGCAAGAGTTCCTTCCTTTGGTGCTCCATTATCGTACCGTAGAGAGCCCGAGGTGGTTTGTTAAGTGCTGACTTCTTCTGTCTGGAGGAAAGAGCTTCTGACAGAAGAGGGACCCAATATATTCTACTGCCTTCTGGACTTAGATATTTGCCTGGTTCTTCGGGCCAGGACTCACAGCACACTGACAAATGGGGATATATGCAAAGGGTCTAGAAGCCATCCCAGTTTCTCAACGTTCTCCTTGAAACCCATGGAGTATAATTCTTCAGAGACATTAAATAATTATTTTTATGTGAATTGTAAAAGCCTTTTACAATTTTCTATATTATAGCATATATCCCTTTCTTGCTATCCATCTTTCTATTCTATCTCCTTATCTCTGGGCAATTTGGCTTTAAGAGGTTAAAACCTTGCACAAGATCATTCTAGGACCCTAGTCTCACATGGAGGGCTTACCAACATGGAGTTACATGTTACAGAATTAAGCTACGGTCTCAGTTGTCTGAATTTTAACATCTTCCCTATTATATGCTTTAAGGGATACTGCCCCAAACCAGCTTTCCCACTTCCCTTACTACTGATGCTGAGGACTGCTGAAAATTTCACTTTGATCCTCAGCCTGCCCATTCAGGGTTTTGAATTCGAATTCGCTGCATAAAGCTAACCCTTAGCGCTTCTGAGATTGTGGCTCTGGTACCTCAAGGCTTCCATCATAGGACGTTTTCCTGGTGCTACTTAACCATGGCATAGCAACGAAGAGAGGCATAAGCAGTGGGTTTTTTCTGTGTTCTGGTTAGCGAAGACAACAAGAGCAAGATGTTATCCTATGGATGCTGGAAAGTAGAGATACCTATTTCTAAGAAATCTGGCAGAGAACAGGAAGCAAGAGATCAGAATGTGGTCTGAAGCCCTCGCAGGAAGGTGGAGTTTGTGTTTGTGTGCACACAGATGTGAGAGTTTGGGCAGCCACGTGGCCTCAGGAGAAGTTGCCAGTGCGGAAGGACAGAGTAAGATGAGGATTCGCAATGAGTGCTTTTCCAAGAAATACCCTGCCCCGAAGTCAGTCTGCCCTTAATAATGATGAAGTAGAGCATTCCTAGCCATTTTGTTCATGGCTTTGCTTCACGGAGGCCCTTCCTTTATATCCCAGTTCTCCCAAAAAGGGCCATAGGGAATTCTTGGCTTTTTGTGGACATCACAGAAGTGGAAACTACCTGGAGACTTGTAAGTGGTACCCACGGGTAGTTTGGTTAGGCCTATCCTATCTTCTTCCTGCTGTTGGGGCTCGGAACAAGATACCCCAAAGTATAGCACACTGGTGTGCTGAGTACTTTGAACTGGACATAGGAAAGGTCTCTGGCTGCCTGCCAAAAAAAAAAAAAAAAAACGAACAAACCTGTGTGTGCATACATGCTTTTCAGCTGGCTGTAGGAATTCAGCCAGAAACAAGGTCTTTCTGACCCTCTCCCATTTTCCCCTGAAGCGAGTTATGAAAACAGAATTCCTTTCCCCAAGGTGGGTCATAGAAACCAAAACCACTCTGACCCAAAGCAAATCATAAAACATAGAAAGGCCGCTCTCTCCCTTTTCCCTTGGAAACCCTATTTCATGGGAGTCCTGCCCTCTACAGTGAATTCCTCTATAGAAGGAATGCCACACAGTGAGGCCCAGAAGAATCTGAACAGACAGGC